TGGGTGTGGGACAGCAGCAGCAACAGCATGAGAAGAGGTGAAAGCACATGCTGGATCCAAAAGGGGAACACAAAAAAAACCCAAAACAAAACAAAAATCTGGGAAAGCTAGGATTACCTAGTTACAGGCTGAATTTCTTCACGGCAGAAGAGCTGGCAGAATCCACAATGCTGACAATGGCAGAAAAAAAGAGCCTGGTTAGATCCTGAGCGTACCTTGCACATGATGTACCCTCAACAGAGGCCAAAAACTGCCTGCTTCAGTCCCCAGAATTCCTTCAGCATCAGCATGTTCAGAGGAAAGAAACCGGACCGCCCGCCTCTGTGGAACAGGCAGGAAGTTACTCCCTAAACCCCAGCATGTGCATGCAACTTGGGAGAGCTGTGGGGCTCCACAGCTTCCCCACAATAGTTCCCTTCCTCTCCTATGTGGCTGTTGCCTTGCCAGGCCCTGAGCAGGTCTTTAACCACAGTGGTTGTTAGAAGCTACAAAAAGCAGTTGGCATTTTGTAGTCGGTTCCCTGCAAATACAGGTGAGGGGTAGGTTTTAGTCCTTCCCAGACTCTAAACAAGCCTTTGTCAGAAAGCCTGAGACAAGGGTCCAGAGTGCCTGGTGGTTTCTGCTTGAGGCCCAGGTGCTGATCATTGCTGATGCTCATCCTTTGGAAACCAGCGGCTGTACTTCTCAGCCCATGGGTGGCATCTGCTGCCTTAGCCTCACTTACACCAAGTTAAACAGTGTCCAAAAATGATTGAACTTAACACAGCTTAAACGGCCTCCACTTGTGTTAAGTGAAAGTACTTTCCTGACCACAGAAGAGCATCTGTACCAGGAACAGACAAATGGGGGATTCAGTAACTCAAAAGAGCAGAACTGACACAGACTACATTTTGCCCTAAAAAAACCCTCCTTTTGTGGACGCTCATTCCATCAGCATAAACACTCATTTTATTAATGGGAATGACTACTTTGGTTCCCTGAAGTCTAGGAGTCACAGTTCAGCATTTTTATATTTAAAGAGATGGGTAATGGTACAGGGACAACAGTATCTGGGCTGTGTATTAGTCCATGTGAGGGGTTCTGGTTGTGATCTGTGTATGTAGGACTGTGAACAGAGGACCTTATCTACCTCTCTAGAGGAACTGGAAAGCAAGCTCTGGCTAAGGGAGAAGGAGGGTAGGAGACCAGGAAATGGGGCTTACTTTGAAGGGGAGACAGAGGGAGCTAATGTCACTGGAATTGCTGAAGGGGGATTGTGTGTAGATAACATCCCACAAGTCCTGTCTCCCTGCCCGAGTGCTTATCTGTGGTACAAGCATGTGAAATGAGGAGCAATCTTAGGCTCCCCCTCCAGCAGGCTGAACAGTTTACATTCCTCCCTTCCATTATGACCTCCTCCCAGCTTCCTCCTTATCTGTTTGACCTCACTTAGCCAGCCCCAGGAGTAGATTTCAGCCTACAGTACTGAGGCGTCCAAATATGATAACGGGAAAAGGGGAAAAGAAGTATGTTTGCTTGGAACCGGAAGGTAGCAAGATCTGTTTTCAAGACCCTGCCCTGTCTCCATCAGGGACACAACGTTTTGGGAGGGCTTTGGTGCTCACTGCACTAGAAATTTCATAGGAAATCTTCCTAAATCTCAACCTTCCACACAAACCAGTGCTCCAACTTGCCTGTACCCTGATGGTAGAAGTGGCCACATTATCTTGCTGAATGAGGTCATTATTGAGTCATCAAAAGTAAAGAAATAAGGCAAGGAAAAAATGTGGTGACCAACCAAGTGTCACAACTGAAGTCAAGCAACTTGCTGGTGGTGACATGAAACTAATGGGAATTGGGTCACTGACATCACTGGGAGCAGGGCCATAAGATGCTATTATAAGAATGCCTCAAATGTTCCGTTTCACTGCATCTGATGCAACACTCACATTTTTCCTCTGTTACATCCTTTCCATGTGGCAATGGAAACATCACTGTTCTGGATGCTGTCCTTTCCCTCCATACTCCTACCCCAGCTCTACTTGCCACTCAACTTCCGTTACAAGGTAGCATGGAACTATTTTTTTCCATTGATTACAGCAAACCTACAGCACCTTTCTGCTCCTGCAGAGATAAAAAGCACAAAGCTGGTGCTGTCAAAGCTGATGAAGTATATTCAAGTTATCCCTCCATGCTACAGCCTTATACTAAACATCAAATTACTGCTCAAGGTAAAGTCTCATGACCATCGAACATCTGCAGAAAGCAAGAGGCAACTTTGCTTTAGAGCTGAAGCTGTAGGTTCCTACAAACCAAAAGGGATCCAGGATTTCAGGATTTTGCAAGTTGGGGGGAGGGGGGGGGGGGAGC